GAGGAGGGGGAAAAGTGTGCCCAGCCCAGGAGGGCTTGGAGCATGAGGGCAGAAGCACTCCCTTGGGAATCCATAGATGTAGACCTAAACCTCCCCTATGCCACAGACGACTAACTTGTACTCCAGACATGGTCTCTTAACCATAAACTGTGCCTGCTAGGGAGCAGCAGCATATAATTTTCCTTACATTTTTTTAACAGAAGGTAGAGACTGTCTCAACTTTTTGTGTGGACTTTAGTTCAAAGCATTAGATGTGCACCAGGCATGCCCACCAGACTGAAGGGGGAGGTGTAAGCATGCTTAGACTTGGGATATTGATTAGCTAGGAGGCAGCGTCAAACTGTTCGGCACTAAGACTGATGCACACATGTTGATATGCTCAAAAGAAATCTTGGAAACTTCAAAGTGAAAAAGTAAGTTGAGGTACCCACTGAGTGCTGTCAGTGGCAGCTGTCAAATGCGGTAGGTGACTCTGGACTTAGCATAAATCCTGATTTAGTACCTCTTTAAGTCTCTCTTAATCCTTCCTTCCTCATTCATATCAGCTGCATTGTACTGGTCCATCAATTGCCATCCAGATGTTAATGTCTCATGTGATTATTAATTACCCTGAAATGCTCCTTTAGAGGTAAGCCATAACTTTGTTTACAAAATTCACATAAAAAGAACACATGTTTTTACAGGGCTTTCTTCTTCCTAAAAAGGTACCTGACCTCTTTTCAGCATCTCACTAAATTGCTTTCCACTTAGGTGTATATAAACTTAGCCATTAATTCCACCAACATATATCTGCACTTCACCTTATACAAATTAGTAATCCCGATGTGAAATCAATCCTTATCTGAGGCAGAGATCATAAACCACAGCTCTAACTGTATATAGCATCACTGAAATCAATAAAGCCATCCCAAAATAAACTGTCAAATGATCTTGTTTTACATACCTTTAATCTAGACAGCTTCAACCTATTGTGAATTGAGAGTGATGTAGTGAACATCTCCTACATTATACATTATTTTTTGCCTAAGTTACCTGTTGCTTACTCCAGTGATTACTTGCGCTTAATGAGTTTCTTGACATATCCTCACTGTCATGTCATTTGAAATAGTATGGTTAAAAGAAAAGATGATGTTATCAAATACAAATCAGGTCTAGCACAAGCTAACAAGGAAAAACAAGCTTATATTCGTTTTATAAACCTGTCACTTACCAATTTCATCTCCCTGTGACTAAAAACTAAATATAAATACTGCACTAAATCTCCAAAGCTTGTTGCGTTTGGTAGAAATAATTTAGAGTTCATTACTACAAGTATATACTAACAGGATCCCTTTGGTATTACTACAGTAGACTGGTTAATTACAAAGCCTACATTTACTCATGGGATCTATCTTTCTTCACATGTATAGAGATTGTTCCTTATGGTTAAGAACACTAGATACAAGCAAACTTCTAAAATAAAGTTAACAAAATTTATCATTACAAATTGAGAAGTGTTTTTTGGCTGGACAATTTTCCATTTTACAGGTAAGAAAACCAAAGCCCAACAGTATCACTAGGCCACCCGACAGGTCAGTGCTTATTGCCAAATACTGAACCAGGAGAAAATCGGAGCATTTAAGGTAGTTCTATAGAGCAAATATTTCATTCCAAATCAAACTAGTCTGAAATGAGCTATTTCTCCATTTTAGATTTTCTTGATGGAAACTGATTTGGGGTTTTCAGCTCATTCTGAATTTTCCCAGTGAAAACATATGTACACCTTTTTGCAGTAAAATAAAAAATGTTAGTGGATATTCTGTATTCTGGCAAAGAATGCAAAACCGTACTGCACTGTCTCCAACCGATCTTCAGCTCTGATGCAGAAGTGTGCTCCACTGAACTACCATCACCACTTGCATCAGAACAGGGAACTTCTTGGAAGATTTTCATTTTCTGCTTGACTGTGGCATCCTCTGCTGAGCTCAAGGGAGCTGACAGAATTAGCACAAAGTAGCATGTGGCAATGAGCCATAAAAAGCAATGCATTTCCAAACAATTACAGCACATTTTTCTTGGTGCTGGGAGACACAAGGCTACAGTCCAAGTGCTTAGCCACTTGAGAAGTGCAATTATGCACTGGAAATGCACTGCCTGGAACAGTCCCTCTTAAGAAATGGAAATTACCAACTAAATTGGGAAATTAGAAAAAAAAAAAAGTTTCTTTCTGTCTCATGTTTTTTATTGGAACCTCCTTATCAACCCCACTGTTTCTTTCCTTTTTACCCAAACTTTACCCAAATCAAGACAACAAATCACTATTCCTGTCCTACACTTTTTATAGGTATGTTTAAAATGTGTGAAAATATTATTATTGCCCTTATACCGCACCACTGTGCAACACTGTTAGTCATGTCTGTATGTCTCCTTGTATCTTTTCAACAGCACCTTACCTCACATTTTTTCCATGCATTTATAATGCAAAAATTCTAGGAAGGTATCTCAGTTCTCGATTCTTTGCATTTTCTTGCTCATGTCTTATGCTCTAACCCACAACTCAATATATCATGACTGCCTGTGTAGCCACCATTTTGCCAGTATGTTTACATGATAGATAAAGGATGCGTGAGGCTAGTAGTCCGTTGTATATGAGTTACGATTACTGCCTAAAAGCATATATTAGAGCAAGTTCTCCTTTCCAAGGGCTGCAATACCAGAGTTCTATCCTAATTTGGGGAGCAAGTAAATCACAAAGGATATAGTTCATAGTGAAAATGCCAACCCCAGCAAATGCTGAAAAGGTAGTCTTTTATGTGTCTCTCTTTTAGTAGAGTAAGCTGTTGAAAATCAAGCTCAAATGGATAAACAATCCACAAAACAGGGGAAAAAAACACTCGTTGGACAACTACATCAATAATAGCTGTGGTAATAAACAAGCACTCAGTTCCATTACTGGAAAGAGCGGTGTATCTACCCTTTACGCTGGCAATTTAGAGCTAATACAATTTCATTAATTTTTCCAGATATTAACTTGCAATTGAATATCTCAAGCAAAATAAAAGTTTATAGTCAAAAATTGTATTTATACCTCTGTACTTCAGTTCTTCTCAGCAGGACATAAAATCAATGAAAAAAAAGCGAGAATATAAAACATTAAAAAATATTTTAAAAATTTAAAAATATATACAAATATAAAACTTCATAGAAGTTGTAGAAAGCAACATTAAAAGAAAACTTAAGGAGCCATCTGAAACATTTCTGTGCCTGAGCATCTGTGTCACCCATTGAAAGATTCTAGTTCAAGACATTTGAAATTTATTCTTGAGTCTCTATGCTTTTTTAAAGTGACATAAGAAACAGGTATTTGGATGCAAGGTGATGAAAGAAAGGAGGCTCAGAGACCTGTAAAGGGAAAGCTAGGGGTGATGAGAGCAAGCCTGGACAAAACCTGCAGAATGAAAACGAGCAGAATAACGGCAGTTTAAAAAAAAAAGGAAGGAGAAATACAAAAACCCCTACCCCTCCATACACATGCCTATAAGCAGATAAAAATGCCTTTTCCTGTGTGTCTCCTAATGACTCCCTCAGAGGAAAGGAATAAAGAAGTATACAATAAAATGATAAAGCTTAGAAAAACACCACCTGAGAAAACCTATGGTAATGAAATTACCATTTCTATAGAATAAATATTTTTTTAAAACATCAGTCCATGAGCAAGTCTGTCCACAGTTCTGTATTTTTTTGGTGTGTCTAGACAAGTAAAAGCATGTGCAATGGCTGGTTCAGAGCTTTGCACATACTGACCAGCATGCTGGAGCTGCCTCTTGCAATGACAAGGACAAAGCTATTAACTTGCTTTCCCTTCCTTCAGACACTATCTTCCATCTTCCTTCTAACTCAGCTGTTGACTTTCAATAAAACTTAAAATTCATAGGTTTTGGACAGCCCATTCTGGCATTCAGATGAAATTTGTCAATAGGTTCAACCAAGTATTGCTGTGAAGAGCAGGGACAGTGGGGGCATAGGAAAGAAAGGAAAAGGATATATGCATAGGACTCATTTACACGAGAAACCAGGGTTAAATACATAAAACAACCTTACAGAAGAAAAATATACATATCTGTTCCTCAATCAGTACCATCAGGAAAGGCAATCTGGCATTGGAAAACCTTTTTCTGAACTGGAGGAGGAAATCTTTATGTAGGGCTTATTCCTGTCCACATTCCAATAGGTGAAAAGCTGTCATCAATCTCAACCTGAGCAGCAGCTCTAATTCCAAGATGCCCAAACAGAAACAGAATGAAAATGCATTTATTTCATCTTTAAGTTATTATCTTCAGAATAGACTTTAGAATTGCTTCATATCTGAAACATTGCTGCCCTGTCCATAGGGTTAATAGAAAAAAATCTGAACGGTTGCAATAATATTCATCTACAATGAGCATAAAGATAATTGATTTAAATAGCAAATTTACATATCTGCCCACAAATCTTATTGTTCCAGATCTCAGAGACTGAGATACTATATAATGAGAAAATGTGAATTGATTTATCCAATGAACACAGCACAGCAAAACTGCTGTGTATTAGATCTGTAGATCACATGTACAGTATATTAAATTCACTTAGGAGACAGATAATTATGTTTCCATGAAAAAGCCATTATAAATAATAAATAATTAAATATATGTATGACTTGACAAATAATGTGCCAGGATTATGCAGATAATTAATATTTAATTCAGTAGTTGCTTCACTGCTAACAAATAATGACGAATAGACCATTGCATGTTCTCCACGATGATACATTTACTTTATTCAAATTTCCCAAATACATAGATATCTGAACTTTTCAATTAATGTCACCCTAAGGCACTCAAAGCAAGTAATGCATATTAACAGGTAGACTCTTGAAAATAAATCTAGCTTATCTCATTTCCTTTCTCATTGCAGTCTTTATCCTGAGGAAGAATCAAAATGTCACTGCTGTAAGAGAAATTAAGTTAGTAGAAGCTCTCTCTTCATGTACCCCTCTCTGGGCAAGGGATAGGTTTGAAGGTCAGTTCAGTGTTCTCCATCAGTACAAAATCATATCTGCACAGCTGCAGCCTACAAAAGTAGAAAAAGAAAAAAATGTGCACAACAGAAAAAGTTAACATTAACAGAAAAATATTTCAGTATTTGAATTATTAAACCTCCAGTATTTACCACCCCTCAGAGATGGTACTCAGAACAAGAAGAAATGTCTTCTTGTCTAAGTTTACACCTTATTTTACGCATCACTAGAGTGGTTTTGCCAGAACAACAACCAGGACATCAGCTGGATGGTGCAAAATGGCATGAGTAAGAAGTGTATCACATTAGTCTGAAATATGAAGATGCAATACTTCATCCATTAAAGCTATTAATCTGCCTTCAAATTAATTCTTTAGAACAATGGCCCAAGAACAGCCCAATTCCTCTTAACACTGGGCCTGAATAATTTCTTTTGAGTTCTCTAGGTGTGAAAGTTTCTCTGCTTTCATTCCACAGAGGAAAGTAGAAAACCACATCATAGTATCTTGTAACTCTTTCAGTTGCAATGGCAGCGTGCATAAGGATGTTTCAAGTAAAAGAGTAATTTGTCATCTAAACACCTAGAAAACTCAGAACTACATAATACTACGCGAGCGCATACAGAGGTCACAAAGGGAGTCACACACACACAAAATTTTACTTTTTGAGGTCAACATAGATGCTCTGCCTTTTAGGGCAGAGGCAGGTCATAGCTCTGCCCTTCATGCGCTACCATAGATAGGCGGTGAGACCTGGTTTGAACAGGCAAATGACTAGCATACCCTCTGATGGCACTTCTAAGGGCATACAAGCTATGATACTTATTTTATTTAAAATTATCTTCTATATCTCACTCACAGATGTGGCTATACAACACAATCCACCTCGGACTGGGATGTAGCGTAGAGTGAACCAGCTAAAGGACAAAGCCTGAGAAAGAACATCCCACCAGGCACTTCTGTTGTTGCCCTTTAGTGTGAGATTTCCAACCAGTCAAGGCTCCACCCGTCTGTATGTGAAAGGACTGTCAGATTTCTATTAAGAATTTGAGGCCCTTCAAGGACCCCGCAAAGCTAAGATAGTAGATTTTAAGACTAAGATGATCAAGACAAATTCTGGTATTCTGTATAACACAAAGCATAGAATTTCATCCAGTCCTTCATCCACAATTTGTTTTGATTTGAATTTAATGGTTTACTACTATATTATTTTTGTAGAGGGAGAAAAAAAGAAATTTCCAGCATTTTAAAAGTCCTTATAAAAGACTGCGAAAGACTTCACAGGACAAATTTCCAACCAATACAATGTAAGATTATTATATGCATCCATTTTCTGAGTTGACTTTCGATATCTTGCATAACAATACGATGCTGTATTTTAGCACATTTGCAACAGTGTTTGCAACACAGCAGCACAATGTGTTAGCACAGCCAGTTCTCCAACAGCAGTCATCACCTGGGAAGGGCTCTATCTGACCACAGGGGACACAACACTTAGACGAACCATAATGATGAATACTAGAAACAAAAATATATGTTGTCCAACATATTGTATCTCATTTGAAGTGCAATCCATCTAAGCTTGTGATTATTGAGTACCAGGAA